CCCCAAAACCCCAAAACCCCTGATGAACATGATTTTTAAAAATGGGAAAAAATTAATAAACTACTACTATTTCACTATTATTCTTACTCTTCACTTTCATTGTCTTCTTCTTGAATTAGCTAACTTTTTATTAAATCATAAAGTTTGTCAGCAACCTCCAAATCCAAATCTAATAATGTTGATTATCTCAAATTTTTAACTTACGATGTTTTAGACAAAACTGTTTGACTATGACAAGTGGATCATCCTTCTCATACAATACTAACTTAGCTGTCTAATTATCAGTCCCTATATGAATATTTGCATAGAGTATTGGTTCCTCTTCTTCCTCGCTTTCACTCTAAATCTGGTAGGATACCTTCTTTTTTTCCTTTTTATTATTTTTGGCTGAGCTAGATTACAACTAGTTGTTGCTACTCATATCACAATATGAATGAGTGGCTTCTGCTGATGGACCTATCAAGCTTTGATATGAAGTTCCTCCATTCATTTAAGGCTAGTTATAGTAATTAGCAGTAGAAATTTCTGAAGACTTATCTGAGAACTTCTTTGAATCATATCTCATGTTTAGTTTCTCAAGTTTTGAAGATATTCCAGGAGTTGTGAACTGAGAGGTAGACAGCTTTATTGCACTCTATTAGGAGAACAGATCAGTGATTTTTGTATAATTTTGCTTCATCATGTTGTTTTAGTAATTTTAGAATATCTTAGACTTAGTTTAACATGTTGATCCAGCTGTATTGATCTTTATATTCTGCTTATACTTATCTCCTACTAATCTGGGTGTAAAGGTACAATTCTTTGTCTCGTTTGATAGTTTTTCATCCTATATACTCTATCTCTTAAGCTGTAGTAGTGATGCTTGCCTATATAATCTATCAAAATTTGATATGACTGATGGAGACTGCTCATTTAAGTTAGAATTGGTAGTATTTAACTTGAGTTGACTCCTACTTTGCTATTTCTGGTTTCCTATTTACTAAATCTACTGTATTTACTATGAAACATTTTCTCTATGTTTATTTGCAAGTGTTCTAGATTTCTCATTAATGACAGGCTAAAAGTTAAGATTTCTAGATTAGCTCTGATCTCTGGATATAGAGGCATTTCTTTGTTTTTAATAGCTTTTATGATTTAATACCATGAATTGGAATCTCTTGACCAAATTGGTTTTAATTTGTTCATTTACAATGAAATGACCAAGCTCTCCTATCATTCCATACTTTTAATTCAGCAAGTTAAGTTTATCTACGTTCGTTAGAATTGATCTATCCTAAACATATACATCATGTAGAGCCATAATGAATAATTTTAAATTATTGCTTTTGATTTGAGATGTTTTGAGTACTAAAATCTCGTAAATCTCAACCAGACTAGCTCTATCTTCTTTCTTAAGTGGCTCTTTGATGTATCCGATATCACTTAAAATTTTGAAGAACTGATTTTAACTAGTCAGAGATCCATTGTATTTTTAAAAGGCTTCCTCAATTTCTAGTGAAATTTTTTTCTGTAAGTATTCTATTGAACTCTTATTAAAATTACTAGGACTAAGCATTTCTTCCTTATTATTTACTAATGAAAGTGGAGAAACACTTCGTCTTTTGGCATCCTAGTATAGTATATCGGACACATCTTATTGTCTTTACAAATTTTTAGATTTTGAAACGAGACTGGGGGTGAATGGTGCTTGCTCTCTTATCAATTGTTCAGCCTCCTACATTTTCTTAATCGAGAGGTAATTAGCTTCTCGATGCAATCTGTCAAATGTTTCTTATGAACTGTAATCTTAATTAGCTATTCTTGTGGGTGTGATGCTACGAGCCTCTTCTTAAAATTTTAACTATCTCTGTCTATCTATCTTTTCCTAAATCTTATTCAAATAAATGTACTGATCATTTACAAATTCATCTACAGTTCTTTTACTTCTTTAAGAGAAGTTAGAAAGAGACCTATCTCTGTTAATAATCGGTTAAAATGTACATTAATCAAAACCATCCAAAGGTTTTTCTTCTTTTTGCTTTTTTCGTAGCTCCCATTTTTCAAGTTTACTATTTGAGTATAGAACTTCAAACCTATTGCAACTTGGCTACTTTTGGTTACTTTGATTGGCTGTGGTTGTTTTTTAGCCTAGTTTCTTCAGATACTCTTATCCATTAGTCCATGCTACTTTTATATATGGATTTCTAGACTATTCTTTGACAAATGTATTCTATATCTAGGTTGTTTGAAGTAATTTTTAACTATGATCCTTCTGTAATCTACTTGTAAAGTTACCAGTATTACTATTACTAATATTTGCAAGATTATTAGTTATGTTATTAATGCTATATTTACTTGGATAGTATTATTTGGCTTTGTTTTCAGTTTTATTCTTTGTTTTGGGATAGCTTTACTTAGAAATTTTAGATAACTATGAGAGTTATTAAGAGGTCTATTTAAATCTCTAGGAGTTTTAGCATAGCTCATCTAGAGGGGATTTATAGTCCAGTTAGGTTTTATGGGTATTAAGCATAGGCTACTTAGGACCGATAGTTAAGATTTGCTTATTTTATGGAGTTCTTTACTCTTAATACAGATTCTCTCTGCTGGCATTGTTTTTAGTGATAAAACTTTATTTTATAGAGTTGATGGAAGAGAGCATATCAATCTAGTTAGACTGATTGAAATGAGGTAAACCACTCTAACCTCCAACTTAATTAATTTACTACTGTTGGTCTTAGATTGTCAGAACTCTATGATTATTTACTCTCTATTCCCTCTGAATTTCTTGAAAGGACTTCTCCACAACATTTTCATTAATGTCATCAAAATCGCAACTTTCCTCATTCTAATCATCTTCTTATTAATTACTAACTCTCTTCTTCTGCTTGTAAGTCTTAAATGAACTCTACGACTATTGAGTCAAGTCGTTTGAATGGATCTTAAGTGAGATATCCTCATCAATCATGATTGAAGAATTAAAGTCATTTTCATTATGATTGCCATCAGGACTTATCTAGTTTAGCAGACCAGTTCCGAAGCTTTTGAATTAGGCATCTGTTTCATAGTGCAGCTCATCACTGACTTTGCCACAATCACTCTCTATAATTTATTTATTTAAATGATTCAATGCATACACATCATTGAATGAGTCTCTTTAGTCAAATGGGCATAATGTTATTGAGGGAATTTATTGGAGGACTATTTAAATTGTTGATGCATTATTAAAATAAATTTTAATTTTTTAAGACGTTGATCAACTTATTTATGCTTTATTGTGAATCAAGGGGTTTTGGGGTTTTGGGGTTTTGGGG